CATAATTTTGCAACCATGTCTTTCACACAGGAACCACAGTTAGAAAACTGCAGATTATATGTAAGCTCCATCTCTCATGCTACATGGTTTGGGATGTGTGTTTTTAGACAATTTGAACACACTGATCACACTGGCAAACGGGAATGTTTACAACAACAACAAATATGTTCATAAGCAGCCTGCCAATTATTTTGTTTGCAATCCGAGTTGTCTCACCTGCTTGGGCTGTTAACACTATGGGCTCTATTCTCGATATAGGAGGTTTAAAAAAAAGGGTGGTTTGCACTGTTGTGGGCATGAACACAGCTGACTCTATTTGCTGCCAATTAAAGTGATTCCTGTTTTTCCCCTATTAATCTGGTGTACTCACATCATGCATGGAGACAGCGATGCAGCAGTCTTTGCGTGACCGAAGCCTCGTCACCGCTCATAGCCCGCGTGGCATCAGCCAACATAGGCGGGTACTGCTTCCTCTAATTGCGCCAAGACTGCTATGGCAAATATTTTGACAATTTAAACATCTCACCGGGTAAACACAACAGTCAGGGCCAAATCATGTTTGCACATCCCATCTCACGTTGTTTTATCTCTGGTTGCCTGAAACGGGACTGCTGTGTCCGCCGTTAAAGGTCAAGAATGAAGTAATTTTAGAAAATTGCAAATGAAATACTTTTATAACACAATTAAACAAAATGCATTAAATATAGCATGAAAACTTTCTATTTTGTAAATTTGAGAAAGTAACCGTTTTCCCCAAAACCCGGAAGTGTGACATCACTTCAAGACAACAATCGTGGGGCTCACGATCGAAAGTGTACAAAGTCAGTCAGAAATCGATCCGGAAAGCGACGTTTCAAACTCATCTGAGGAGATCCAGGTGTTTGAAGAGTTAAAGGAAGAGGAGGTTGTTGGCAAGATCTATGTTGGACGATACATGGACGAGCCAGGTGATCAGGATGCGAAAAATGTTGTGCCTGAATGGCAGGACGTGGAGTGGAGACGAGACCCACCGAGATTGGAAGAACGGGAAACTGTATTGGCTGGGTTATTAGTCTAGCGTTATTGTTTGCAATTTGAGACTGTGCCGTGCTGCGCACAATGGGATTACTTGGTCCATGTATTCCCGCTAGTCCTGAACGCACAGGTCACAGGGGGCTGGTGTCCAACATTGTCACTGCTAAGGTAGTTCTGCTGGGTTGTCGACCACTCTACATTACTATATCGGCAGCATTGTTCATTGTAAACCATTACAGAGGATTCCATCCACGCACTCATATAATGTGAATGTTTTCGAGCATGATTACATCCATGTACACTCGGGGTGTCAAACTCATTTCACATTGTGGGCCACATATGGCCTCGGTAGATGTCAAGTGGGCCCGGCCATTAAAATTGTACCATACTCTGCTATAAATAACCAAAATAATATGTCTTTCCTTTGTTTTGGTCTAAAGAAGCAGAAGAACATTAAGATGAACGTATCTGTTACAAAACATTTCATGAAGGACCTTAGATTTCCTTAGACAAATGTGCAATTTACTTTTATCATTCACATATATGCATTGCAACTGATCCCACTGATTGTACAAAGGCACAGAACTTGAACAAGTGGTATTGAAAAATAAAGTAATGCACTTTAAGATTAAATGAGATTTAGAAAGAAAGGAATTTTTAAACCATTTACACATGTGCATATAAAATCTAAATGTAATCCCTGCCTACACCTTACAAACAAAGGAGAGTGCTATTAAATGTGTACAGGATAAAGTATCCACATCCTTGATCGTGTCTGCTGTGTTGGGTCTGTCTCAGTGACAGACTGAGGCTGCTGTTGTCTTCTTCTCCGATCAAAACAATGTTGTCTTCTAGTCTGATCAAAACAGTGTGTCCCCTTGCGGAGACTCCATGAATTGCACCTTATTAAAAATATTCATTCCGTATTTTTATGCATTTTTTCACTTTTAAATTATTCTGGGGGCCTGATCGAACCTCCATGGGGGCCTGTTCCAGCCCGCGGGCCGTATCTTTGACACATTGTACATTGTACATGGATAGCACTTTGAATGGGATGTTTCCACAAACAACGGCCAGTTATTCATTGATTAGCACACCTACCGTCTTTGCAAATCCGATTAAGAAAACAGAGGGCTTTGAAGTGCTTGCAACAAAGAATGCTCGTCTTACACAACGGCGTGAAATTCATTGGCTTTTCGAGACCGAAACTGTATCGTTCCAATTTTCAGGTCCATTTACGTGCCCTACTCTTTTGTTTTGGCTATTCAAACAACCGTTTGCCTGAATGTGAACAGTGCATCATCACACAGCGCCAAGGCATTTCGCCGAATAACTCGATAACAATGGCAAGGAGCAGTTAACGGGACAATCAACAATGCATTACAATGGCTAACTGGCGACTCGGCATTCTGGAAATGACGTCACTCGCCTGAGATTGCTGAATAAGAGTATTTACGTTAAGCGCGTGGGGTCTAACTATGAACCTGGGTGAGTTGCGTTAAAAAAATAAATAACGAAAGTGTGCTTGAAATCGTTTTAGCCCTATTTATTACTCCCAAAAAATGGTTGGCCAAGTTTACTTCTTCTTTAGTTTACTTCTTTTGGTGGCCCAGCCTGGAACACTTCTCACATGTAAAGTAGTGCCTATTCTCTGGAGGGGAAATCCAAAGGTCTCGCCTCGCCTAAGTCATCTTGCGAACAAATGCACATTTACTGCTGGTAATGACTTTTTACCACAGTGCCTTGAAAATAAATGACGCTTCATAACTGTGCAGACTGCAATTTGCTGGCATCCATTCCAGGGTATAACCTGCCTCGCTCCCAAAGTCACCTGGGATGGGCTCCTGTACGGTATCGAAAATGAATGGCTGCGACTATCGGGGAGCCCGGCTTCAGAATAACCAAGCAACAACCGTTTGATGATTTATTGTTATTAATCTTATTTTGATTCATGTTCATATTCTATTAAGATGACTAGTTTGTCATTCTTAAGTAACTCTGCCATTTGGCACTAGAGTGAAGTCAATCCACCAGCAGAAATCTGTCACTCACCTCGCCAATTCACTCCTTTTGCTCAGCATTAATTAATGATAAGTGCAATATCTGCCATATTGTTGGGAGAGTTATGAATAATAAAGAGCCAACCGTCTGAAGTGTATTGCGCTGCCCCTGTTCACTGTAACAGGTTCCATAAAACACGCTGATTAATAATACATTTCCGTTGCTTGCTCAGCTCCTTTCGGGTCTGCCTTTATGCCGTAGTGCTTTTGCAGCTTTGACGGCTTCCTGTTGGTTAATGACGGTTGGAAATGGAAGCAAATCACCTTTTGCTGGTGTGCAAATGATTCGTCCGTTGGTACATACTGTGTACTGCTTATAGAAATAAACGTTCAACTTATCTTTTACCGCGGGTTAAGTTTTACTCTTTTGTCAATTTTCCCATTTGTGTCATGTTCTTTCGTTTTGTTTGTTAGTTTGTTTTTTTGTTGTGTGTGTGTGTGTGTGTGTGTGTGTGTGTGTGTGTGTGTGTGTGTGTGTGTGTGTGTGTGTGTGTGTGTGTGTGTGTGTGTGTGCTTTCAACAGATGACAAATTGCATGTCCTTCAATTGTGACAACTTGTTACATTTTTGGTTTGATGGTTGATGGAAACTCTGTTACTTCCCCTCTAGCTGCAACAACACATTATACTCTTGTTTTTTGTTTTTTTATACTTTGATTTATTTGTGTACCGACATGCAGACAATAATAATCTTAAAATCTAGAAGAGTGCAATGCATTGCAGTTATCAACAATCATACCGGTCCTTGATGTCATTATGCTTTATTGCAGTTGGTATGTACACTTTATTATATCGGTATGTCATGACCGTTTAATGGCCTCTATCTTAGTCATGACTTTTCTGGGCTGCATATGATAAAAATGCCCATTATATTGTATTATTATTGAAGAGTTGTTTCACATGCATACAGCTTAGTTAAATTGTCCTATAATGTCATTAGTTGACCTTTTATTGACTTTGTTTATTGTAATACTATACTTTAGTATTCATATTGCTAAATCAAAACAAGTATTCTGGATGTATGTACAGTATGCGTACTTAAAAACATTAACAGCAGCATGGAAACATAGAGCCAAAAAGTGTGTGTGTGTGTGTGTGTGTGTGTGTGTGTGTGTGGGGGGGGGGGGGTCCATGAATGATATCCCACAAGAGTGCAGTACACTGATAGACATCAAGTCTGCTTCCTGCAGGCAATTCATTCTGTCTTCCAGTCTCATACTTTAAATTATTGATATTACCTTGGCGCGGTGTGTGCGGACCGAAACGACGGAGCAGAAAGACAATGTATTGCGAATAAGAAGTGACTGTGAAATGGCGTAAAATAGTGATGGAAAATTGACCGTCACAACATAATTAAAAGAATTGTATTACTTACAGTGTTGTAACAAAGATTATCAGGGGACTAAGCACACTTGTGTCATCCGCCCGTTAGACACAGTTGAAAAGAACTTGTGAAGTTCAGCGGGTGACGTTTCATGTGCTCCTGGAGTATGTTGCGGTCACAGTATGTTAAAATGCATGTTGAAATGTCATTTTTGTAACTACTATTGTTACTTTTTTTTTTTTGAAAGGAAAAACTTGCTCTCGCAAGCAGGGTGCAGGTCAAATCAGTGCATCGTTTTTTTCAGGGTTGTAACTTGACAAAGAAATGTTTGGCTCAGAAGAATGTGTTTTGCTCTTTCCTCAGCCACAATTACAAATTGGGTTCAAGGTCCAGATGTTATTTATTTATGTATGTATTGATTTATTCCGCTTATGTTAATGAATGCTATGTTTGTGATATTCAACCAAATTGACGTCATTTCCTAAGCATGAGCATTTTCTAATGAACGCAGTACTATAATGTTTTAGAAGGTAAATTGAAGTGCAATAAATTGGATACATGCCTTGAGGAATGACCCTGTCCGTCCGTCACCATGTCTTTCAGGGGAACCGTGGAAGCGCGCTTCGTATATGTGTTCGTTCTGGGTATCCTCTTCACGGGTACAAAGGACCTGTTGCGATCGCAAATCATCACAGCTGACGGCAAATTGAAGAACAGAGGCCTGTGGGAAATTTACAGTGGCCTGGTCTTTTTGGTGTCATTGTTGTTTCGGCCCCACAACCTGCCGGTCTTGTGCTCCTGTCTGCTCATCCAAACACTTCTGGCCCAGTTCATCTGGAAGAAGCTCCACTATGATGCAGCCCAGACCACCATCATGCACTACTGGTTTGGTCAGGCCTTCTTTTACTTTCAGGTAAGCAAGTCGAACAGAAACAAGACCTGGAGATGTTTGCTGTGATTTTTGAACAATGTTTAATTATGTGAAGTATTTGTCAGTGGATATTTACATTTATTTATATAAACACTTTATTTATATAAAATTTACATTACATTTATATAAACGGGCAAACTGCGCAGCACGCACTGCCATATCTTTGCAGAAACACTGCAATTGTGTTTCTGCTAATGCTCACGTTTAAAAAGAGTTGCTTTTTTTCGGGGTAAACGTCGTCACAAACTTTAAGTATACCGTTTTTAATTAAATCCCCGTTCCCCCTCCATGTCCATGTTCTTGTTTTTGTTCGCGTGTTTCGTTTCATGATGTCATCTCAGATTACACTATTTCAATCGCTCCACACTTTCTCCACACAGAAGACGCACAGGTTTTCCAGCTACGTCCATGAACATGTACTTGGACTCCCATCTTGTTTGAAACCCCCGGTTCTCAGTGTCCACCTTCCGTTTTGCCATTTTTGATGGGTATCTGAAAGCTAATGTCACTGTTATGGGAACGACTGCTAGACTAATAAATATTTAAATAAAGCGGCCGACTGCTTGGCGCGTCACCGTTGCATTGTGGGAAATGTAGTATTGGTGCGTGTAAAAGATCTGCGGGCTCTCGGCTTGCTGCGGTCCGCGGGCCGGTTCTAATAATAAATCAATATCATCCCAGGGGCCACTGAAAACATTCTCGCGGGCCGGATTTGGCCCGCGGGCCGGCACTTTGACATATATGCTTTAAAGGGTACGTTTCACTAAAAACTGTACATCACCAAAACAACACCAAAGCCACAATGATCTGGTAGCAGTATTGGTCACAGCTTTGGCCTGTTTTTCATCAAGCGCAACTGGGAATTTAGTCGAGGTAAAGCAACACAACGAAAGATTACTACATTCAGTTTCTCTACTTCAGTTTGCTATCCACACAAAAAAGATGGTGTCATAACAACAACAAACCCCCAGCTAGCCACAATACTTGTATTTGATGATTGAGCATACTCATTTTAAAACTGTTCCTCTGAAAGCTACTTGGGCTTTTCCCGACCTCGCTTATGCACAAAAAAAAAAAAAACACGAGGGGAATGTCGAAAATATTCCGAGTAAGCCAATATCACGAGTATCATTACACACTTGGGTCGTATAAGGACTTTAACTCCCTAGGGAAATATTTGGCTTGCTTGATCTTTTAGACTGATGAACATTTAGGCTGTTGCGCCTTCCAAAAAAAAAAAGAATCTTGAGGAATGAGCAAGATTGTACAAATGTTGTGTAGGGACCTATGAAGATGAATTCCGCTGCAACTGAGCAACCGTCTGTAGAAAATATGAATCACCACAGTGATGGGAAAAGTGGGCAAACTTGATTCTCTTACAACAGTGACTCATAATAAAATCTCAAGTCACGATTTTGTTGTTTTTTTTGGATAACAATCAACCAGAAGAATTTCTCTCAAGGCTGTCAAGAGTGTGTCATGACTAGAGCCTGTTGTCATGTGAAAAGTCAGATTTCTGCAGAGTAGCTCGCCGTGTGATTGTTCATTTCTTACCAATAATGTCATCACGAAGAACACACCACCGTTTTTGCAAGATCACGGAGACATTTTAGCATGCCAACAAGTTGATTCACGCTTCTTTCTCTTCAACCTGCTTCCTGCCTACCTTGACTCATCCCGCCCATCTGAATTAAAACTGAGAGTCCAGCATCTTTATTGTTGTCCTGAGCACTTCTTTGAAAGAGCTTTTTGTGATGTCGCAGGCGGCAAACACAAGCCCAGTGGACTCTCATATCCATAGAACCAACTTTTAACAAAGCGCCTACAAAGCGTCAACCACTGATTTTTTTATTTTTTTATTTTTTTTATTTTTTTGCTGGTCGTTTCTGTTTGGCAAATGTTGCTTTTTTTGTCATGCTACAATAAATTGTCGCCTGTTCTTGCAGGGTAATTCCAACAGCATTTCAACTGTGGACATCTCAGTCTGGTTTGTTGGTTTCGACAACTACGTAGAAGCTCCTGCCATCTTCTTGACGGCCCTCAGTACGTATGCTGGGCCACTGCTTTGGGCTTGCCACCTTGTTTGTTACCTCAGTTCCGACATAAACAGGTGAGTTGCGCACTACTTTTGTGTTCTATATGGCCACTGTTGGCATTGTTTAGTGGAACATCACAAACATGCAGCAGATGGTGCTTTCCACTATTTTATGTTCAAACCCTTTGAGGTTCTGCGGTGCGGTATGTGTTGTGTGTGTTATTTTATGTTTTTGTGCCCTAAAAGGACAACTTGAATTGTGATTCACCGACTACATCAGCAGACTTTGATTCTTGTTCACAGAACTTGGCTAACAGTTTTATTTGAGTCAGGCTAAAATTTGGCATGTTTGTTACAGTGCCTTAAATCGCAACATGGCCGTTTCTTGCATTGCAGTGACAATGCAACTTTTAGTCAAAGGGCAATAAACCGTTTCATTTGATCAGATTTGTTTGTATTTACCACCAATCAGCTTTGAGAGTGCACAGAGCCAATTGGACCACTTTAACCATTGCGTATCATTTGAATGACCGTCAGACTTCATTCCAAATTACCACCAGGTGCAATATATTCTCAAGAAAATTGATGTCGAAAATTGGGGAGGGTTGAATAAAATTGATTGAAAATTAGCTCACAGAAACTTTTTTTTAATTAGACATTATGTATTGTATTTTACGCATTATAAGGTGCACCTAAAAGCATTCAATTTTCTCAAAAGCCGAAAGTGCGTTTTGTAATCCGATGCGCCTTATATATGGATCAATATTCAGATTTTTTTGGATGTAGTATTTTAAATGTTCTGTAAAGCGCTTTGTTACAGCTGTCGCGATAGTGGAAAGTGCTATATAAATAAAGCTGCATTGTATTGTATTCCATTTAGCATAGCTCCATCTATTGGATGCATAACACAACCCCAGCCATTATTGGAGCTTGTATTCTATGTGCCTTATATGTGCGCCCTATATGTGAAAACAGTTTTAAAATAGGCCATTCGTTGAAGGTGCACCTTATACTCTGAAGCGCCTTATAGTGCGAAAAATACGGTATATAAGATAAGAAATCCTTTATTTGTCTCTCATATGGCAAAATTGCTACATTTTGCTCTTAATTCAAACCAGTTAAGGGCTGTGTATTGGGACATACTGTCAGAACATTTTGTTCTCCTTGAACGGTGATTCCTAAGTGTGGTAGGAGTACTGCCAGTAGTCCGCGTTCTAGTGGTATGCAAATAAACTGTGTTCAGTAATCTGTCGGAATTGTTTTGTTGTTATGTTAAGATAATGTTTTTAATTGAACTATACATTTGAACTGAATCATTATTTTAGTGAAGTTTTTCAATTGCCTTTAATTACACCCAGTGGTGATGTTCAAACTGTGCATTAGATCAGGGGTCCCCAACCGCCGGTCCGCGGACCAGTACCGGTCCGCCGGGCATTTGGTACCGGGCCGCACAGAAAGAACTTGCCTTAATTCCGTTTTATTT